CGCGTACGGGCCTTTGTTCCCTAAAACCTGCCCTTGCCTAGGAAAAGCTGAGCAATTCACAGAGTTGCTGTTTCCACCCCAGCTTCCCAAAGGATTTCTCTCTCCCGGCAGCACAGACAGGGTCCCCGAGGCAGGTACCCTAGCCCTCATTCCATCCCTGAGCTGTAACCTTTTATTGACTGCTCAGAAACTTGGATTTCTGAAATCATCTTCAACACAGAGTAGCTTCACCTCAAGACCGGACAACACTTGTGAAAAGCTGACAAGTTGCAGCTGACACAATCAGGAAATCCCAAAAGACGCAACGCTCCTAAGAAAAAGAAAAAAAGAGGAAAAAAAAAGAGCAAATTACAAAAGCATCTTACCATCCCTGAACACAAGACGCAAAACGAATAACTTCAAAAACCATGCATTCAAGCGTAACCCTCTTCATGGCCACATACAGGTCTGCTTCTTTAGATGCCAAAGCTGGTGGTTTAATAATGCTGAAATAATTTGACAGGCTCCATTAATTGAAAGAACGGAAGAACTCTTAATCCTTTGAAGCCCGGCTGGTAAATGAGCTTCTTGACTAAAGGCTGGGGCTAATGTACCCCTAGCCACGCCCACCTCCCTTCCCCTGAGGAACAGGGAAAAGGGAGGATCCAAATACCAGGAGGTATAAAGGCTCTGGGAGAAGGAGCACCCAGTTTGCCTCTCTGAGTTAAATTCAGGATGGCTAAGGGGCCTGAGGCGGATAAAGCTCTTTCTGTCTTCAGAGTGTCCAAGGTGGCCCACCACCTGCACTGGAGATCCTGAGGCCTTAAGCTTTCTTTCCTGGGGGAGACAGCTGTTGTTCTTTTGCCCAGGTAGGCCCATCAACTGTACCTGACACACAAAAGCTTTCTTTCCTGGGGTTGGAGAGCAGTGTCCAGGAAAGGCCCTCTAAATACCTCTGAAAGCATCCACTGAGTTTTCAGATGTGCCACTTAGTTTTTCTCTCGTTCACCCAGATACTCCATGCGATTATGGCTACAGTCTCCGGCTGCAGCCAGTTACTCTGGATGGTTTGCCTAAAAAAAAGTGAGACTCTTTCAGTTCTCCCTGTGCGTCCGGGTGACTTTGGTAAATCATTTCTTTATGATGTCAGAGGGCTAGGATGTAAAGCAGAATTGAACATAAAAGGCCAGAGGAGCACAGCGAGAAGGTGGATCATCACCTGATGTCAGCATGAAGATGTGACTTTTGGATCCATGTTTACTTGATGTTTTAGGGATTGATTTTTTTGTTTTGGTTTGGTTTTTCTTTTTTTTATGAGGCAGAGCCCTTGGCCCAGGAGGCTATAGGGACCAGAGGGGAGGTGAGCCAGATGAGTACCGGTGAGCATTGACTCCGGGACAGAATTAGATGCTCTTTTACAGGTGTTGTGGTTTTGGTGAATCTGGGCACAGATGGACCCTGAATTTGGCTTTTTTTAATTTTTTCAATGCAGTTTGCTTTTTAACCCTTTCTGTGCTCTGTATGTGCTTTTTTCGCTTATTTTTGTGGGATTTTTTGCAGTCTTTTCTCCTACAGGTGTTTGGTATTGTTTAAGGGGTGGTGGTGTTAAAAGTTTTGGTCAGTAATTTGCATAATTAAATGACAAATTGCATAATTACACATTATTAATTATTATTAGCTCTCCAGATGGGAGTAAGAGGGGTGGAGAATAATAGTAATAATATGACTGGCTTTACTCCTATCTGGAGCACTAATTATGGGCTATATACAGTATAAATAAAAAAGAAAATGGCTCACTCTCTGGGAGTAATTTTTAATTATTTTTTTTTAATTAAAAAAGTCTGAATAGAAACAGCTTCTGTTTCAGACTGAAGCAGACACTTCACTGAAGCTAAAATGCCCCCATCCCCGTGTGCATTCGAATGGCGCGCAGGGACAGCGACGTCCAGCGATAATCAGCAAAGCGTCATTCCGCGGTGGTCTCCCTCCTAGGCCCCCCCCCCGCTCCCCCTCCTCCGCCGCGCGATGGTCTCTCCCGCCCCTCCGGCGCAGTAGGCCCCGCCCCCTCACATCAGTCACTCCCTTGCCCGCTGGCGATTGGCCGATCTCCAATGCCTCGCCCGAAGTGGCCAATGGCGGTGCTTTGCCCGCCCGGAGTCAAGATGGCCGCGCCGAGAGCTGCGGGCGGGCGGCTCTGAGGCGGCCTGCGGGGGCCGCCGCTCGCTCCGCGCCCCGCTCCGCTTCGCGCCCCGCCGCGCCGGGGGCCGGCCGGCCGGGGGTCGCTCGCTCCCGCGCTCGCTGGCGCCGGCCGGCCGGGCCCGCCCCTCCCTCCGCCATGGCGGCCGAGAGCGGCCGTCAGTTCTGGAAACGGAGCGCCAAGCTGCCGGGCAGGTGAGCCCGGGGAAGGGGTGCACGGGCCGCAACACCCACCCTCCCAGCTGGGGGATGTCGGGAAGGGGAGCTGGAGCCGTCCCTCTGCCTTGGGAAGAGGCTGTCACCCACGCTGGCTCTGGGATTGAGGGTCCTGCGGTACTTCCCTGCAAGGCTGGAGGGATACCAGGCATACCTATCCTGGCTGCAGGGCAGAGGAGCTGGCTGGGGACCTAGGGTTCCCCCCTCTAACGGGGTGGATGCTAGGGGCACCCCAGGCTATGGGACAGAGAAAGTTTGACGGAGGAAGGCTTACTGTTTAAGAGACAAGGGTAGGATCAGAACTGCTCACTCATCTGTAGGACAAGGCAGGCTATGTGGGGGCTGTGGGGACCCCTGTGTGCTTCCTCTGCCCCATGAGAAACAGAATGGAGGGATCAGGGCCTTGAAGGCCCCTTTGGGGTGGCCTCAGAGCCAGGACTGGACCATCTTCCTTTCCACAGCTACCGAAGAAAGCTCATCCTTTCCTGAAGTCCTTAGAGGTATCACTTTGAGTGGCAGCAACTCTGTCCTAGAGGGGTGCCCCTGCCAACGCCAGTAACCCCCCCATTATCCTCCCTTACGTAGGCTGTTAATTCTTCTCCACCTCTACTCAAGATGGAGAACTTAGAGGGGCTCTCTGTTTGCACCTCCCCTCAGTTCCTCTAGCTGTGATGTCCTGGTTCCTGTCAAGGCATGCACGCTCACCCAGGGATGGGAGAAACAAGTGAAATGTCTGATTCGAGTGGTATTTAGGAAGAAGAGGCTGGTGGTGACAAAGGAGATGCTCCCTATAATGTCTTGGGAGCAAGGCTGCCATGGGGAGAGGGGGTCTGCCTCTCTGTGAAGGCTCTCACAGGTGCTTCTCACATCTGAGGGCTCTTCATATTTGCTCTCGTTTTCCTTATGTGAATCCTGCCCTTCCCCTCCTAGGGTACACACACAATCTAAAATGCTTAGTTGGCTTTAAATCCTGCTAGACCACTTAAATATTTCTAATGTGCTTTCACTCATCTCTCTGTCAGTATGCTGACTTCTTCAGGTTGGCTGGACAATCCGGGTCTGTGGCAAGCGAAGGGAAAGCAAGGAGCACTCAGCGTTCCTCCTCTGCTCCTCATGGGGAAGGAAAATGCTGTGCTTTCCCTGGGTTATTTTGTCTCCTGATTCCTGCTGTCTCTTATTTGAAGGTCTCGGATGTGCGCTCAGCTGATGGTCTTGGGCACCATCTCTCTTCTGCTTTGGTGACTTTTGAGCTTTGACTTGGAAAGCTCAAACCAGGTGAACCGGTCTGGGAGGCAGCCGGTCCTACTTAGACAATACACTCCATCGTAGAGTTTTTGGCAGTGTTCTCTCCTGCTCCTAACTGCCTACTTGGCAAATATCCGGCTGTGCAGGAGCTGTGTTACCATCTCCAAATACCCTGTGTGCCGGTTATTTCCAGGGACAGTTACCAATAGGTCTTGGGCAACGTGACCACAAAAGGTGGAGGTGGGATGTGCTGCGTCTACGGTCGCTAGACAGGAAGCTTCCTTTCTTCTTTTTTGTCTGAGCTTTGAGAGACCTTCTCGTACAGATTCTTGGCTCTCTCCTTTCTTTACCCTGGCAATCTGGCAAAAGAAGGCTCTGTAGAGATTTGGACGCTGTGTTAGCTTCCTTTTCCATGTCTCTTTGTGCATTTGGTCACTCAGTTGTATTAGTTTTTATTTGGTGCTTTTGGTCCCTCTGAATTTAGGGTGGCAGAACTGGTAAATATTGTTTTGTCTTTCCAATGCTATCCTATGGGTTTTGCATTGGAAATTCTCTCCCCAGTAATTTCCTGAAGATGCTTTGGCAGGGTGGTCTAATGTGTTGTCGTCTGTGATGTGGTGTTTATTTCCTGCTCTTTGGGGAAATGGGCAGCCAGTGTCTGGTTGGGGCTATTTAAATGCTGTTCTAAAAGGGGAGAAACAGTCTGCTAGAAGTAAATATGTTCTGTGTCCAAAGGGGCACTGAAGTTTCATGGATATGCTTTCTGTTGCAGTGTCAATAACCCACACCCTGTGATGATCTCGTGAGCAGTATAACACAGGTAGCACAGCCATTGTACCGTACACCGTTAGTCACCCATTGTACCAGATGCTGAACATTCAGGTAACAAAGAGCCTGTCCCAAAGAACTTAAACTGAGACTGAACGGGGGAGTCCAGTCAGTCTGGGAGCACAGTGTCAGCTTAGATCAGCACGAGATTCTTTGTTTGGGAGTATCTGGGCTCTGAGTCTTTAAAAAGCTGTTTGGGAGGTGGGACCCTCTGCCATTATATCAGCCATTGGCCGATTGCTTCAGAACCCCAGGAAAGAGTTTCCTCACCCAGCACTGGCTGTCACATCCCCTCCTCTCTCTCTAACGTGCATCATTCATTGGTCTAGTGAAGTTCAGGCCTTTGCAGGCAAATCAAAGCAGTTGCCCATTGGCAGCCTGTGGGTCTCAGCGCAGCGAAGAGCAGTGATGGCTATCGTGAGACAGTGCAAGTTTGGTACTGGTTATGGGAAAGGCTCTGTTGGCTCCTTTTCTGCAAGGAGCTGCCACAAGTCATTGGGAAACAATGCTGATCTGGAGGGGTTGTTTTTCTTACTCCTGATTATCTGCTCGCTGTGGTCATCCATGGAGGTGCCTCTGCTTAATAGCTGTGCTGACTTCCGGATGCTCATTAGTCATCACACTCTATCCTACCACCCTGTTGGTGGGTAAACACAGTGAGCCTTTTCAGCACTTCCAGCCATGAGGGACAGGTGCTGCAGTGGTGAGCCCACTCCTTGCTGGGCTACTCTGCCAGGATCTCTCTATGCTGTGGTTGTTTCCAGTCCCTGCCCTGGATCTCTGCATCTCTTCCGTGCCAGCTGGACCTGTTGCTTCTGCCTCCTCCTCATCATCTGGTTCCCAGCGTGCTTTCCAGCTGTACCAGGCTGCCATCCCTCTCCTACACGGCGGGACTCTGCTCGTTTTACTGCCAGGCACCATCTGCAGCTCCTAGAAACCAGACCAGCTCTATTGACCCACGAGGAACTTGTTTCTTGTGTGCCAGCTCAGAATGGGCCTTTGTCTTTGCCGTGGGTCACGGGACTACGCTGCATACCAGAGGATGGGGAGGACTTGTTTTTCAGAGATGGTTTTCCAGGGTGAGGTGGCTGTGAATAGTTGCCCAAATGGAGGTAATAACTCAGAATCCCTGTCTCACATCCAGAGTCTGTAAAACCAGCGATTAGCACTTGTCTAGTAGCTCCTCTC